GTCTCCATATTGACGCTGGGTCGGGCTGAAATGGGACAGACGGGGAGGACCCCAGCTGCCAGCTCCCGCTTTTGGCTTCGTGAAATGCTTGAGGTTGGCCCGCCGTGCCGTTCAAGCCAGCCTTTACGCGGAGAAAGGGGAGGAAGGAGCAAGTTAACACGAAGTGACAAAGATGGCAGGGGAGTCCAGCACAGGCCCTCTGTCTACACGGGGCAGCAGCCCTGCAGTTACAGCACAGCTGCTCTGTCTTGCAAAGGTTGTTTTTGGCACCTCTCCTCTTCCCCTACTGGTTTAAGAAATATTAAGCTTACTTGGTGGCCCAGCGCTCTGCGATTTTGCAACGCTACTCAAAAGACGGTCACTTTACACCAGTTGTTTCTCAGGGATCTCCACGCTCGGCTCACACCACTTCTTTTTGCAATCAAAGGAGATTTAAAAAAACAAAACAAAACAAAAAAACAGCACAACAAACCAACCAACAACCAACCTTCCGCAATCCTTTAGGATCCAGCACTTTTGATTCTCACCTCGGGATGCGAGTTTGAAAGCAGAGGGTGGTTACAGCAGGCTTGCACGGACAAAGCAGCGTCCCTCCCGCTGCCAGCGGGGCCTTGCAAGCAGGCGAGGCAGTCGGAGGAACCGACTCCACCCGCGGCCATGCCAGATCGCCCACACAGCATCCTTGTGCAACAGGCAGCGCGGTGGGGCAACCGTGTCCCCGACGCCCCGAGGCACGGCCCTGCCTGACAGACCATCCATCTGGGTCACAGAGAATATGGCACTTTTCTGTATTTCACACGACAGCAATACTTGCTCCCCCTTTCCCAACAGGGGCCAAGTCTAGTTAAGGCAATTTAAAATTAACCCAGGTTTGGCATTTGCGAGCTCCTCGCTTCCCTGTGTGATAATGCTGTCAGCCTGGGTTAGCTTAAAGGTCCGTTTTCCCCAGGAACCTGTCTCCGAGAGAAGCCGGAGGAGGATGCTTACAGAAAGAGCAGAAAAACAAGAGGCAGTGATTCTCCTCTAGCTCCCCTTACCCAGCCTGCAGCAATCATCAGTTTGCATTTCCAAGTCCCTCCACTGCACGATGGCTCACTGGCACTCGAGGGGTTTGCTCCCTCTTCCAGAACCTGGAACTAGCACCGCTCAGATGTTCCCAGCCCATCGGGATGCCTCACCGTCTACGCCCTTTGCATCCTGCCTAGCAGCTGATTTGCAGACGAAAATCTGATGGTGTAGCGGTCCAGTAACTCTCTCCTGATTGTGCTCAGGGTCGCGCTGGATCTCAGCTTGATCCGCATCCCAGAAAAGCCCATCCTCCAGGCCCTTCTCTGCTCTTTCAAAGATTAAAAATGCACGCGTGCGCACACACAAGAAATCAGTAAGAACTCCATGGCACAAACTGAAGCCATCAATCAAACCCCAAGAAGGATTTTCAGCAACCTGGCAGCCTCGGGCTGGGCCTGGCGTTCCAGGTATCAGCAACATCATTAAACAAGGCGAGCCAGAGAAAAAAAAAGAACAGGCACAGGCCGGTAAAATACTTCACAATAGGAAAGGCAAAGAGGTTGGAGAGTTGCTCTTAATGGGACACGCAGCTGGTTCCACCCCACAACAGCTGGACCCACGATCTCCAAAAGGCTTTGGAATTGCTTTCTTGCATGACCCTGACGGAGAGTCACGTCCAAATTAAAATACACATCTGTAGCATCGGGGGTATTTGTTTCTAGATTTCCAAGATATGCTTATATTCTATGTAAGGTAATATAAAACAGCAATAAAACCTAGGTCAGCTAGTTCAAGTTCACCATTTTCTCCCCCCGCCAGTACTGTATCTGTAGTGAGCAGCCTGGGAATTCGTAGGGTTAGTGAGGAGAGGAAACGTTTCCTTAAAATTAACTAACAAACTATAATAACAAAATTATGGGAAAAGACGTAGGTTAGGTCTGATGTAACTGATGGGCAACTCGGTTCACACACAAGATGTTTTTAGGCACACAAACCCCCTTCCTTAGGCGGAAGGGAAGAGGAAGCAAAGGTAATACCAGCATTTTCTGCTACTCAAGTCCCTGTGTAAAAAGTATGGTCACCCTGCTAGAAAAAGCACCTCTTCAAACTGACTGCAGCATTGCCCCGAGCAGGCCGAAGACGACCCAAGTGCCTGGTGTTCAGAGCACCCCTCCCCACACCATCTCCCTGCTCCAGGCACTTTTGTTTCCTTTTCTTTTTTAAACGCACTCTCAGCGTGAATTGGAGAAATCAGCAAAGCGGAGTTTTCGCCACCGCTCAGCGCTGACCACACGGATGTGTCTCAGTGGGGCAGTGGCTCCGCTCTCCCAGAAGCGGGAAGCCAAGCAACCGTTCTGCCCCTGGCTTTGCATCCCTTTGTGCAAGTCTCCTTTGGCAGACTTGGCGAAGCAGTCCAGGAGATTTGAGGAAGGTAAAGGCAGCTTTTAAAATAAAAAAAAAAAAGGTCCCTCCTCACATTGCACCCAATGCACTCCACAGCCCAAGAGCGAGGAAGCACACCCCATGCAAGGTAGTCTGGAAATAATACTAGGGGGTCAGAGGGGAAAGAATTGTGCACTGTTGCCAAAAACTGATTATTTGACAGTGGGATGCAGCAGAGAACAGACATTTAAAGCCCATTTTCTTGCAGCACTACCAGTATTCACTGGAAAGGAAGAGCCATCAGATCAACTGTCTGCGGTTGCAATGAGAAAACTAGCTGAAAGTGTCCTTCATCTGAAAAGCCACGCGGCCGCAACAGGATCATCCATCTTTACTTTAAAAACCCCTCAGGATGGAGGGTTTGTATGTGCTCTGCCTGGTGGCATCGAGAACCTGGAGGTTTAGCTCTCTTAAATAAGCAACCGTTACACCCCCTCCAGCTAAAACCCAACACCGCATCCTCAGCATCCGTGAGGAGACCTTTTGGAAAGGCAGAGCACAAAGTCCTGCCAAAGCCGGAGGGGGAGGGAGAGGGGAAGATATGCTGCTGGTTGTCTGAAAACCCTTGGCACGTCTTTGGTTACGGGATGAAAAAGGAAGCGGTGGAAGGTTTGGCCACCTGATTCTTTAAGATGATGTTAACCCAGCAGAGAAGGGGAAGAAGGGGACAGGACCGTGGTTAATCCGACCATTCGTCCTCATCGAACTCCGAAGAGTCATCCTCAGAGTCGCTGTACTCCACAGCGATGCGGCGTGACAGGATCGTTGCCACATCATTGCCCACAACGTCCCGCTTCTCCTGTTCCCGCTGCTCCTCCACCTTGCGGAGCTGGAAGCCTGTTGGGAAGAAGGCAACGGAGGGGATCATGCAAAGGCTTTGGTCACACTGAAATCTCCAAAGCAGCCATCCCTTTGACACAATCCTCTGAGCAAGGCAGCCTGTCCTCTGCCAGTGAGTATTGGACACGCTGTGGGATAACACTGATGGTGAATGACAGCCAAGACAGGCTGGGTGGGCAGCTGGAATGGGAAGCGAATCGTTTCCGTGCTCCTCTGAGGGGTTACACCACTGCCGTTCAATCCGCTCTCAAACTTGGACCACACCAATTCCAGCACTGCCGTCTCCAAAGGTGCAGGCGGAGGCATAAAACCTTGTGAAGTTGTCATCAGGGTGGGCAGACAAGGAGGGACCACAAGGGACAGGTCTCAAGCAGGGAGGCAGTCGCACCACTGCTCATGAGATGGCTCCCAAGTGCTCGCACTTGGATACTGTGGGGTTTTCCAGAGGCAAAGGAGAAAGCTGGTGTTGAAACAAAACCTTACCTTGACGAATAGCTGAAAGTAGATCGCTCCTGGCATCGCTAACTGCAGGCAAGGATGACTTGGGCTTGGAGGCGGAGGTGTCTGAGGGTGGAGGAGGGGGTGGGGGACCATCCAGGCCACCGGAAGACAGAGGCGGTGGGCCAGGAGGAGGAGGTGGTGGAGGGGGAGGCGGCGCACTCCCACTGCCCGGCT